GATATTTACCATATTAGCAATAATATTAGAACACTTAAAATATGTAATTATTTAACAATAATAATAAACCCATAACCTGGTCACATAAATAGTATGTTTTTATGAAAAGTACTTATATTTTCCAACACAAAAAATTTAGTGGAAAGATTAGCATTGTTTTATATTCTTCTAAGTCTCTTTAACATTTGGTTTAATGGGAGACAGCTAGATCTTAGTATTTGGTTCTTTATTCAATGTATAGTGATGGCACGTGTCTTGTAACCTCTGGAGCACTCAGTTGCACATGTGTGAGAGAATGAAAGTTAAAAAAAACAAATAACCTCTTAATAGTATTGTAAAAATAGCTGAGTCTCAGGACTCTCCTGAAAGGGTGCAAAGGTTTATGGAGCATACTTTGAAAACTGTTGATCTAGATAAAACTCTCGTTTAATACATATGGAAAGTATGGTGTCCCATGGATCTGTTACTGATAATAGGTTAGAGAGAGGTTGATAAAAGGATATTAGACATGATTAGGATGTATGCTAAGCTATATCATGTAAATACATGAAGATGATTGGGTGGGGAGGGGTCTATATTTTACCTCCCTCCCACTGGTGGCACAGCAATCTACTTTTTAGGAAGTGTTTACTGAAATTTATTTGTCTGTTAGCATCCTTTGACATAGCTGATTACTCATCTCATTTTGACTCAATTGGTGTGATCCTTCCATGATCTCACACTCACTTAAAGCACCCTCTCAATCCAGTTGCCCAACAGAGAAATCTGAGAAACTTTTCTGACTCAAAGTACTCTGGATCCTTTCTTATAAATATCTTTCCACTCCATCAATTTTTTTCTTACCCTGTCCTCTTGCCCTGAGTATACATCTTACCTTTCCTGCATTATTACAATTAGTGTCTGCCTATTTCTTTCTGCAGTTTTAGCTCTTCTGGTCTGTCATCTATAATCTGAGTGATTCTTTTGGCATACATATTCCAAGTGAGCACTTTCCACAGCTCTTACATTAATTAAAACCTTGACTCTTTAAAATGAAAAGGGCTTCTTAAGCTGCCCCATTCCCACTTCTGCAATTGCATTTGTCACTAATTCTTCCTTGTTTTTTAAGATCCTTTGCCCTTCTTCCTCACCTCCATGCCAGTGCAAAAAACCTGTTATTTCTTCTATCTATTCCTTCTGCTGTTTCTTTTTTATTCTGGAATTAACTTAAATGTCATCTCATTTGGGATAATTTCCCTGAATCCTCCCATTCTGGTTAGATGATCCTGTTAGATGATCTTCAACAATCTGTACTTCCTTCAATTTCCCTACCATTTCCTATCATATTATTTGACACTCTTCATTTGTAATTGCTTGCTTAATAACCTTTTATCTACTGTATATTTTTAGTGTTGTGTGGGCAGGAACATTGTTTATTTTTGTCTTTCATTGTATACTCGTATATTCAATGTCTAAAACAATGCTTGACTTATAGTAAGAATTTATACATATTTATTAGATGCATGAGTAAATTAATATTTTTTTTCTTTTCCTATAGTCAGATGTAGTTATGGTTTTCTGACTCACTTTTCTTTAAGAAGCTAGGAGTAATTCTTTGAATTATTTTATTGTCTTGTGCTACTAGTTAGTATAATATAGTTACTATCCTGTATGCCTACTGTGAAAAGGTAGTGCAAAGACAAGCTGTTATATGACACTTTCTTGAAACCAGGCTTATCTTTGGAAATTGCCTTCATTATTTTATGATGAAGAAAATCACTTGATAAGATTGTTAAAAACATACATGCATAAGAACCATCCCCTGAAGATTTTTAATCAGTTGTTTAGACTATAACTAGCTCCACAGATTATTGTCATACCTTCCAAAGTTAAGGAACCACTGCCTTACTTCAAGAATACTCTTCTTTATTTATAAAACATAGTTAAGCAATATTACCACCTTTTAGACTTTATTCTAATTTAGTAGCAGAGAACTCCCATATGCAAAGAAATGTATAGTTTTCAATATATGTTTTGGTCAATGTCATAGCTCTTTAAGCACTATTATATTTAAACAGGTGTTACAAATCCAAATATTTATTTTCACTTTTGTACAGCTCAGTGTTAACATTCATACTCATTAAACACATGTTAATTCCCTAGAATGGATTGTAGTGTGTTTAGTGGATATACTTAATATAAATTATGTAGTATTTATTTTACTATAGTTAATAAATATTTAAATTTATAAAACAAAATGTGACAATAGTAGTATATTGTGCAATGCATGCAATTGTTATTTGTAGAATTTTATTTTTTTATTTGTAGAATTTTAAATGGCAAAATTCTAAAATAACTTATGATAAAATAAACTTTATGGTACAACGTGGTTTAAAGCAAAACATACTAAGTATATTTGTGAATTCACATATTTTTTATTTTTATTTTTAATTGATATATAATTTTACATATATAGTGTATGATATATTAATGATCTTCTGATACGTGTATACATTGTGTTATAATCAAATCAAGATAATAAGCATATCTGTCACCTCAAACATTTATCATTTCTTTGTGGTGGGAACATACAAAAATCCTCTCTTCTAGCTATTATATTTTGAGATGTATCATACCTTATTGTTGACTACAGTCATCCTTCGGTGCAATAAGACATCAGCACTTATTCTTTCTCTCTAATTGTAACTTTGTACCCAATGACCATCCTTTTTTCATCTCCCACTTCCCCTTCCATCCCCAATTTCTGGTAACCACTGTTCTGCTCACTATTTTATGTGATCAACTCTTTTTAGAGTCCACCAATGAGTGAGAATATGTGGTATTTATTTTTCCGTGTCTGGCCTATTTCACTTAATATAATGTCCTCCAGATTCATCCAAGTCATTGCAAATAACAGAATTTCATTCTTTTTTAATGTGGTGCATATGTCTGTATTTATACACATACTGACATTTTCCTTATCTATTCATCCATTGTTGGATACTTAGGTTGATTCCATATCTTAGCTGCTGTCAATAGTACTGCAATAAGTATGGGAGTACAGATATCTTTTTGATATAGTGATTTTATTTATTTTGGCTTTATACCCACAGTGGGGTTGCTGGATCATATGGTAGTTGTATTTTTAATTTTTTGAGAAAGTTCCATAATGTTTTCCATGATAGCTATACAAATTTACAACCACACTAACAGTGTATAAGTGTTCCCTTTTCTCCAAATCCTCACCAACACTGTTATCATTTTTCTTTTTGATAATAGCCATTCTAACCAGAGCAAGGTAATATCTCATTGTGGTTTTAATTTGTATTTCCCTAATGATTAGTGATGTTAGCATTTTTTCAAATACCTGTTGGCCATTTGTATGTCTTCTTTTGAAAAATGTCTATTAATATCTTTTGTTCATTTTTTAATTGGGTTATTTCTTTTTTTGTTATTGAGTTGTTTGAATTCTTTATATATTCTGGATATTATTATAACTATTGTCAGATATATAGCTTGCAAATAGTTTCTCCCATTCTGTATATTGTTTCTTCACTCTATTGATAAATTCACATATTTTTTTAATTATGTATCTTAGTTGAGAGTAAAAATATTGAAAATTCATCAAATTGTCAGTTTTACTATTATGTCACAAATGTGCATATGACATTACATGTAAGAATATTATTTATTTAAAAATTGAATTAAAAATTTCTAGAATTATATTATTATTCTCAGCATCTTACATGTAATTTTAATACATGGTATATTTTTATTCCTAAAAGGTATATTTTTATTCCTGTCTCCAAATAGTATTAAGTAAACATGCACATATACATACATATATATAGAGAGAAAGAGTGTGTGTGTATTTATGTTCCAGATTAGTTATTTATAAATATTTGCTGTATTATTATTTGGCATACTAATATTGATGAAGGTAGTATTTCAGAGGAGGTTGAAATAGAGAGAAATATAGAGATGAGATGGGAAAGGAAGAAAGACAAACAAGAAGAAAGAATAGAGGGAAAAAAAGAAATTGCTTAATTTGATGTAAGCTACAATAGAATTGGCTGATCTTTTTTTTTCTTTCATACGCTTTTATATAGTGGGGCTTTTATATCAATTCTTAAGTGAATTTAATTTCTTGAAGATTGTATAAAGGAATAAACTCAATGATTGTATCTGGTATTTTAAAATGCATCACAATTTTGTGACCTACTAAAAATACATTCATTAATTTGATATATTTTGAAACAGAAAAGAATACTTTATTAATATCTGCAGTTGTATTTACTTCTGAAATTAATGTTATACTTAGAAAATAACACCAAAAAGTTAGTTTTATTTCCTTAAGTAATTAATTATAATCCAGGCTATTTAAAGCCTACTTGATTAAGAAAAGTTATTTATTTCATTCTTAAACATATACAAAATTACATGTACAGGTTATTCACCAGAGCATTACTTGTAAATGATGACAAAAAAGAAATAACTAGAGTTTTGAATGATAATAAATAGTCAACATAAATTATATGCATGATAAAACATAGTGTTCATTAAAGACAAACTAGAATAATAATTACATACCTACAAGGACCTCTAAGATATTGTCACAAAACAGCTATAAATATAAAATACAAAACAAAACAAAACTTTATTGTAAATGCACAGAAAGTATTATGTAAGAACATTTCAAGCCATCAATAGTGACAACCCATGGGGGAGTAAAATTGGCGTGTAGAGGGAGATTATTTTACTTCATATACTTTTATATATATAATTTTTTATATTAACTTTTCATCATATGTTTTTTTCATAATTTGAAAAATACCTTAAAGAATTTAAGAAATTATTATTTAACAAAAAAATGAAGGCTCTGGAATTATGTCAAAATAGGAATTTCAATGTTTGCACCATGATACATGGTCAAGGAAATCATGCATTGGAATGAGTATTTGTGATTCTATGGCTCACTTTATCTCTAATATTTGTGCAATTGTTTTCCTTTTTAATTAAAGGTCTCATTCGTTTGCAAGAGCTCATCAAAGCTCCATCCAGGTACAACCTTCGACTTAAAATCCGTCAACTACCTGCTGATACAAAGGATGCAAAACCCTTACTAAAAGAAATGAAAAGAGGCAAGGAGTTCCATGTAATCTTTGACTGTAGCCATGAAATGGCAGCAGGCATTTTAAAACAGGTAATCTTTATTTAATCTTTGCTTAAATTCTTAGATTCTTCATAAACTTGCACTTAAAGTATGCTTTTGAAATCAAAATGTTATTGTTATTCATTTAATTAAAGAATTAGAGAGGTCACCATGATGTAATTTTATGATAGTCTGACAATTGCTTTTAACTAATTGTCTTAGAAGAAAAGTAATATAAATATTGATCTTAAAAACAAATTATTTGAAGTTTGAGGTTATTTTCAAGTGATTGCAATAGTATTTATAAATGAGATTACTGATTAATGAAATAGTTATTTTTGTTTTTTACTGAAATGAGGGAAGAAACCAAGAGTCAGCAACTGAGCAGTTCATCCATTACCATCAACCAATAGAAAAAAGTTATAATAGGCTTATCATTTACTTGCTATTGCAAGGCACCTTACATACTTGATCTTATTTCATCATCACCATAACCAAAAGAAGTAGGTTCTATCTCTACTTTGCAGACAAAGAAACCGGGTCCCAGAATAATTGAGTAACTTAACCAGTGCCAAGTAGCAAGAAAATAACAGAAGGATTCATATCCTATCTAGTGATGTTAACAAGTATTCATTCCAAAATAAAGCATTACCTCCCTTAAAAGATACTTCTAAATGAATCAAACAAAATTATTTATAGCAATATAACCCCTTAGTATTATATCAACACTATCCAGACCAAACAGTAAACTGGAAAACATAAATTGTTGTTAGTCCATATCTTACAGATGAGGAAACTGAAGTTAGAGGTTAAATGACCAGTATAAAGCCATGTACTTACTATGTAATAGTAGATCTTAGATTTTAATGTAGACCTTTGGGTTTTGCTTTATAATTTCTTTTATGCACATTTGGCTGGCAACACGGTGGCTTAGGACTAGTCAACTATTTCAAAACCTATCTCATATAGGATAAAATATTGCTACTGGAGAGTTATGTAGATTCAGATGTCAATTATATCTGATTAAATATAACTACCAATAGTAAATGCATGTTATAACATGATTAGTTTATTAAGTAGATGTTTGTCCAATATTCCAATATAAATGTTGATTTCAACAGTAAAATATTTAATTGGATTTGGAAAACTGTCCTTTTTTTATATATATTTGGGTATTGAAGCATAGCAGGGTTTTTTGTTTGTGTTTTTTGATATGGAATAAAATGATGCAATAAAATAACCACTAAAATCTAGAGTCAGGATTTTTTTAAATATAATTTTTATATAATTCTTGATCACATTTAGAATACACAGACTGGGAAAGGAGACCTTTTATTTACTCTTAGAGTGAATAACACTCTACTATTTCAGTGACAGAGCTTTGGTTTTCTTTCTCTAGGCTTCTAACATGTATGAAAATAAACAGTTACCTATTTTCAAAGGAATTAATTTTGACTTATTTTGCTATCTGGAAGGTGAGAATATCTATCACCTTTAATAATAGAATTTGCATTCCATCTTCTATGGGATGTAGCTATTATTTTATATTTGCTTTCTTATGTATAATCTGCTCTGTTTACAAAATAAAACTGAACTAAGATAACTATATATATATATATATATACACACAACAGAAAACAATTATAAAATTTTAACAAGTTTAGTAGATGAAATATTGGAGCAAAAGTCAAATGAGAATATGAAATTAAGAGGCAGTCAGAGTGACATTATTATATAGAATGCATACTCTGAGGTCATGTAACACAGGCTTACCTCATACATGGTGATGTTATTTTTAATTTATTTTAACTTATTTGGTCCCAGAGAGCATTTGTCTCACATTTGAGTTTGCCAGTTATTCTAGAAACCAAATTCAAGAAGAAAGCAAATAGCTTCCTTATAATAAAGGAAGCAGTAGGGATCTACTTTGTGACATATAAAATTTTTTTGAGATTCCTCAACATTGGCTCATGTTGAAACTCCCAAGATACAATATAGGAATTGAAGAGCAAAAATAGATGAGCTTTCAGCTAGTCTGGCCTTTCAAGAGTGAATATTAGGATTAACCAGAACAAGGATGGATAATCAGGTTATCCTCATTTGTTTATTTGTTTGTATAATTTATTTAACTTATTTACCTAAACTAACTGAGATTTTAATATTGAGCAACAATGAATTTGATGTTTTCCTTCCTGAAAACGTTAAAAGTGAGTGGAGTTTGGGATGACTAGATTTCCTCTGAGGCAAGTAAAGTACACTAATTGGTGTGCATGCCTCAATAGCAGATGATTCCACCTGCATCCAGATTTATCAAAGAAAATACCCTGGGGCAGAGCCAAGATGCTCTGAAGTAAAACCTCACAAGGACATTCTATTATAGAAAAAAAAAAAAAAGTAATCAAGAACTTCAAAGTTTAGATCAGAGAGTGTAAAATAAAAAAAACTTTAACCTGGGAAAATGTAAAAACAGATGCAAATAAACTCCTATAGCAGGAAGAAGTATTAATAAAATAAAATAATAATTGAAGAAATATATACAGAGCCCTCCCCCCATTTTTAACCTTGAGCAGTATAATTGCTCGATATGCCCTGAAAGATAAACTGGTTGCAAATTATACACCTAGATAACTACATGTGTTAATTTGTCATGTAGCATTATAAGCACTATGTTGGTTTAATATTAGAGATTTTTAATATTTTGATTTTTAAAAAATGGATCCCTGGTGTTTTGTTTTAGGAGAGATGTTATAACACGACCAATTTTCCATTAAAGCCACACATATTATTTGTACATAAGAAGATAGGGTTTTGTCTTTTCTTCTCTTTAATATGGTTTGAGGTGTGCATACAAGTCATTCAAAAGTAGCAGCAAGAAATGTTATAATTAAAAGAAGGTTCAGAGCAAGTTCTATTTTTCTTAATCCCACTGGAAATTATTAACTAATCTTTCAAGAGAGTATTTCTGTTGTTCATTTTTGTAAGGTCACAGTATAGATACTTAATCAAAAATAACTAGCTTCTTCTATTCTACTTTTAGCTTTTTCTAGATCATACATCATAGTCCATAAGTGATTCTTGTTTTCAAGGCTGAGAGAAGGTCAATGAAAGCCACAAACAGACCCCAGTTATCCCTTATAGATTTCTTCTCAAGGTGATGAAGAAACCTGTAGCCAGAGCAGAATGCACATGTCAGAAGCAAGCCACCCTCTCCTATACCATCTCTTCAACTCCCTCCTGCCCCTACCATTAATGCACAGTTTTATGTACCAACCAGAGATATTCAGGTTTTCAAATCGTCACAGAGGAAAAAGGCAAACATTTTAGAATTCATAGATTCTAAATAAAAATGGCATAGGTTATATGCTAATCCAAACTCCAAAAGTTAGAGATCTGGAGTTCATGCTTATTCACTGTCTCACATTGCTAGACAATTTATTCATTTTTATTATGTCCTAGTTTCCTCACCTGTAAACTGAACATAATGATAGGACTTACTTCAGAGGGTTTTTGTAAGGCTTAAATATGCAATGTGCTTAAAATGGTACCTAACACATTCTAGGCATTATATAAGTGTTATTTATAGTTATACATCTGAATCACTATTTCTTTCAATTATCTTTATCTATATTTCTAAAAAAAAAAATTGATAAAAATAATACTGAGCTGTAATTGAGTGGTTCTGGAGATAGGAAGCCTTCTGCACATATTCACCAGGAGCAATGAATGTTTCCTACAGACATAATCTTGTAATTTTTTTATATTTAATAAGGGAAATTTTGTCTTATTTTGCTTAAGATGAAAACTTTATCAAAATGTTATTGGCTTATGTACTTATTATCTGTTCATGAAAGATTATTTAGTAATTCGATTCCTAAAATTTCTTCCTCTTCTCTATTCTTTGATGTCACCCTTCATTAATCAATGTTTTCCCCTTCTTTTATATATTTTATATGTTCCAAACATTTTCACAAATCTCTCTTCCTTTTTAATTGAACAGCTCATGTTGTAGAACTACAAATTTTATCCTAATTGAGTAATGCTGACCTACGAGCATGATGCTTTTCTTGTACATTGAACACATAGGATGTAGCTGGGACTGCTACTCAGTAAACTAGTTTACATAGTTAGTGGTTTGTTGAAGACTGTTAGATGCACCTGAGAATAATTTTACTACTAAGCTCTTCAGTCAGCTCAACAGGAATCATCTTTCGATCATCATTGCCAACTGCTATTTATTGATAAGCAGTTAATTCAAAAGCATTTTCTATTTTCAGAGAAGAAAATAACATGGACATTTATCATAGAAGTTCTAATTCAAAAGTCCTTATTTTAAAATTAATAGTCTAAAATTGATGAGGACTGTAGAAGAGTTCATTAGTGGTTCAGTTTATTTATTGTTTATTCAGAAAACAGTTTTTAATTATGTGTACTTTTTCATAGGAATGGTGATTTACATTTCCTTCATTAATGCTAAGAAATGTCTATAAAGTGCTAAAAACAAAAAAGGTCTGTTGGGATTGTACTTTGCAATACTTTTTTCCTAATTGAATAATATTTTTCATTGAAATAAAATGGTTTTCCTCATTAGGGTGTTTGTAGTGAAGACATTACAACTATAATGAACTAAGATGGGCTAATTTCAGCTTTTGTGTCAAATGTAATTCCTTCTTTAATGTGTAAAGCCATAAGCTTTACAATTGCAAATATTCAACTAATAGTTTTTCTATCTAGAGAATTGGTTCAGATATTCCTTCAGTAACCACTAATCTTCTTTAACTACTGGGAAAAGATTTAGCTTAACCAAATTTTGATGTATCATGAATATTATAGGCTGATTCTTCATCACATCCTACCATTTTGTTCTCACTTGTCTTGTTGACATAATGTATTTCATATAATGCGTAATATTTTTATTTTTTTATTTCTTAGGCATTAGCTATGGGAATGATGACAGAATACTATCATTATATTTTTACCACTCTGGTAAGTAATTTATTAAAACATAAGGATAATGCTCTAAATTTTATTATTATGACTTTTTCAAATGAAAATAAGTTTTTCAGTGAGAAGTAATATAATGAATGACACCTTTATAATTATACTTTATTTTATTTTTATAAAACCTAGAAAAAATTATCACAGAGAACTAATAATTCTTGGTGGGAAGCTGATAATTTTAAAATAATATCATTTCAGATATCAATTCAAAATAGCATATATCTTATTTTTAAATTGCTTTAGAGAACTTTCAGAATATAATGGATTTTGAAGTTAGTTTGCTGAGAAATCAACATTTTAGAAAAGCACAAATTCTTTTGTTGTTATCTCTCTATTCACTTTTAGAAAATCAGTTTTATTGAAGCTGCCCCTCAGTAGATTAACTTTTCTGTCCTGTTTTTGCCAATATTTAGTTCAACTTTTTAAAAAGCCAGTATACCTTAATTTGTAATCAGCAAATTGAGTTTTCCCTTTGTATTTTGTCTTCACATACCAACCACACAATTTTTCCGTGTTATGTCTGAAAATCTGCCTATAATCTTTTATCAAATCTATTTACTCTTAGCTCTATTTGTTTATCAATACATTATCTTGGTTTTTCTTCCTCTGTGACACAGCTCTCTGTCTCTTTCACTAATTTTTTCTCGCTCATCCCAAAACATAAGAATATCTCCAGGTTTAGACTTTTATCCTATTTTCTTGTTTTCTCTTCAATTATTTTCATCAGAACTGGCTTGTATTTAGAGTTTCAGTTATCACCTTTGTTCAAACGAGGTCTTAATGTCCATATATGATATTCCTGAATGTATGCTACAGAACAACTCTAAATATTGTGGCACTTAGATAATTTCAAAATATTTAAATCTTAATTCATTGTACTCTAAATAGACCTCTCTTCTGATTTCCTTAAAAATTTCCATTTTCTCTAACTCTTGTATCACCAAAAAAATTCTACTGATTTTTCCTCCATAGAGTCTCTAGCATCTATATTCGCCATTCCTACAATGACCAGTTTAACCAATTCTTTCTCTGTTAACTCAAAAGTCTTTCAATTAGTCTTCTAGTTTCTAAGAGTCTTGAAAGCTACCAGATCAAATTACTCAAATTTAATTGTTTACAGTAGTTTCCTGTGATGACAACTCTTCCTCTAGTGGAGATTCTTCTTGAAGTAGGTTGTATTTCACTGATAAAAACCAAGGCTCACTCTGCTACATCACTATATCACTTCCTACCAAGCCACTTTTTGCAGCTTGTTAGAAATTTAGTTTAGATCAGAGAGAGTAAGAACCTTCAGTCATCAGCAAATTACATTTCAATTCTGTTACAACTCAGCTCTGCCACAATTGTAAGATTTAGGGAAAATCAAAAGTATCTCTTAATTAGGAAAAAGGAATAAAAAAAACTAGGTTAGGATAAATAAACTTTATTATTCTACAATTGAAGGCCTTTTATACTTCGATTCTAACCAAATGTTCCCATTTTTCTTTTGCTATTATTCCCCTTTATGAACTATCATCTACAACCAAACTGGTGTAGATCAGTCTCCTGAATAGGTTTTATATTTTCTAATTTTTGTGTCTTTACTCACATTTTGAATGCTCTTTTTGCCTATCATTAGCCTGGTTGTTCTTTAACGGCAGCTGTAGAGGAGAAAAGATTTCTTTTCCTCACTTGTCTTGAGGTTCATGTCTGAGACCCTTATAACAAAAGACAGATTAACAGGAGAAACTATATACATTTCTTTAATATAAATTTTATGTGACATAGAACACTTCAGAAATGAAGACCTAAAGAAATAAGGAAATCAATGTTTATACTTTGGTTTGATAAAGAGTGGACAGTTATGTAGAAATATGATTGTATGAAAGGGAGTATGATTTAATGACAATAAACAGGGGGAACTTAGCAAGACTAGTTTTTTCAGATTCTTCTTGGCCTCCAGGTATAGGGCAGGAACCTTCTGGAATTAGGGTTCTTCAATGGAGGCAGATCAGAGCATTATTTTATGGCTCACTTCAAGGGGAAAAGGTGGGAGGTCAGACCCTCTTATGTCTGTTTTTCTCAGTTTCCTTCAGCTTAACATAATATGCCAAAGTGCCATATTTGGGTAGCATGTTCTAAGTCCCACCACAGCTCAGATCCCATCTGTACTGTGAAGTTTTCTGTGACTACAAAACTTTAAAGTTCTCTGCCTTGTTTCTGATTCTTATTGCACTCATTATTTCTACTCTTTCACTTCTTAGCATATATTGCCTTCCATTATTAATTTACCCTATGGATATCTTATCTCCTTGGCTAGACTATAAACATTGAAAAAGCAAAACCTAAAAATTCCTTATATTTTTCATAGCACAGAGCATAGCTCAGGCCAATGTCAGTTGCTTTCCACTAAATTTTATTTCTATTATCTTGCCTGTGTAGCTGTATGAGTTTGAAGCAAGCTATGCATAGGACCAATGGCATCAATCTTGCCTTGGTTCTTAATATCGTCCATAAGATCTGAGAGTCAGCTATGCCAGCTAGAAAAAAATTAAAAGTCTCACATATTGCATGTTCTAATGATGACATCCAACTCCCATGATAGCTTTGGCCTTTTATCTCCTGAGAAAACCACAGGGCAGAGCAAGAGCTCTCACTATATACAGACTGGAAAAGGCGGCACTAATAAGGTATTTATTATGGTGAAGTTGCTGGGTAAGACATAAGAAAAAGGAACAGAAAGGTTTCAGCAACCCAAAATGCCAATGTTCTTTATGTTTTCCCCCTTAGCTTTCATGTCGTTTTCAAGAGTTAAAAACCATATTTTATGATTTGCCCCTTAAATAATAACTGGCAAAACAAAACCAAAAAATGTCAATAACTGGTCAAAGAAGGACATAGAAAAAATACCTGTTAGTTTAAAATAAAATATTAATGCGTAAATTTTAAGAGAAGCTATCGTTAACATGGAGAAGAAAGCTAATGTAAATCTTAAATGTAAGTTATACAAGAGCATATTATTCCATTCATGGATTTAAAATATGATGTATATGACCATGTTTATGTTCAGAGCATGGATATTTGAATTGCCAAATCATGAGGATAGTCTATTTGAATCTTGGTGATTAGTGATCACTTGAGATACAACAATGTTAAGTGACCTAAGAGAAATAAGAGTGACTACTTCAATAATACATACTTGTGAATATACTCTGTTGATAATAACACAAAGAATTTTGTCTTTCAGGACCTCTTCGCTCTTGATGTAGAACCCTATCGATACAGTGGTGTCAATATGACAGGGTTCAGAATATTAAATACAGAAAATACGCAAGTCTCCTCCATCATTGAAAAATGGTCAATGGAACGGTTGCAGGCACCTCCAAAACCCGATTCAGGTTTGCTGGATGGATTTATGACGGTATGAACACCCACTTTAAGATCAGTTTTTGTTTTTCTAAGTAGTATTGCATAAATACTAAGTCCTCTGGGTCCAACTTCAGTTTAATTATCTAACATTAAAGACATATGAAAGCTACTATGCAAGCAATTCTATTAATAATTCTCTGAACCAATTTTATATGTGTGATATTACACTTTCATCCAAGTACCTCAAAAAGTATTATAACTATCACTAGGGTACTATGATGTAGGGATTTCTCTAAAGTTAATTAGTGCCATATATAGGAGAAATTAGAGGCTGAAAAGAAGATATTTAGTAGTTATCCTTCTGATCTTACCTACTAATATATGATTACTCTTCATCATGATGGTTTCTGATATCTGGTGTTATTTGAATGTTTACATCACACAAAAATCTCTCCATAGCTTACTCACTCTTTAAAGCTCAAGACTAATGAATAATCACATTTATCATTTTTAAGTCCTAGTTTATACCTAGACACTAAATTAATATATAACTCTAAAAAAAGGGTACATTTTTATGTAACATTTTATTTATGCTGACGTTGCCAATGAAAATCTAACACAAGGCACATACATTAATAGTTGTCTATAAAACATACCCCCCAAAAGACAGGTAAAAATAAATGTTACTAATTTGTTTCATTTAAACCACTGAATAAAAAAATAATATTCTTTAAATGGGTGATCAGTATAAAAATCATGAATGAGATATTTTACATTCTTTTTTCTACTAAGTATTTAAAAGTTGGTGTGTATTTGACACCACAAATAATTCAGATTTGTCACATTTGCTCCGTAGAGAAATATGGCTAAAGGCTACCTTGTCAGACCAGGTAGGTTTATACTATACTATTCTAAACAAATTTTTAATGCCTGATACATTCTCATTAAATCCATTTTCTACAAACCAAATTATCACTACAGTTTAGGAAATAGCTTAGTGCTTGGGCAATATTTACATTTCACAGGTCATTACCACCTTCTTTTAATGAGTATTAGTCTAACTGGAGACTTTATAAACGTAAACATCCTCTGCCTTTATATGTGGAAAAAATTTTTCTATTATGATTATAATGTTTACCTAATTGCTTCAATGGGGCATCAAGTTTTGTTTTTGATGTTGTAGCAGGATAATGGGAAAATTTGATTTGTTTTCCCTTAGAAGAAGATTTAGAAATAAAGATTGAGTGCCTTCATAGGGACTATGAAGAAAAAATAGCCTATTTCCATCAATTTTCTGATGAAAAAAAGACAATTATTTTCTTTTAGCAAGAAAAATAACTTGCTAGAATTTGAAAATATCTTATATCCACATTAATTTTTTAAAATAAGTAATATGAAGGAAATTTTATTCCTTTGCACATAGAGAGATAATAGACTCCATCTAGTAGTTTAGTTTTAACTTAAAATATATTTGAAAAATCTTTATTAGGAGGAAAATACCTAATTAACTTAAACATATTTTCCTCCAAAGTATAATCAAATTTTAAATAAAACGCAACCTAGAAAAAATTACAAATACTATATTTTATTACTAATTTGAAGATGCTGAATCAAACTTTTGGAACTTAAGACAATGTTATTATTTAAAATTAAAATGTATACTATCTTTTAAATTGTCAATATAACCATGTGTATATTTTTCCATATTTTTTATAGTTCCCATTATAATTCTTTTATTTCAGGATGAATATCTTATTATTTATTCTTCAATACCATTATTAAATGGTTTTAGGAAAAGTAAATCAGTAAATACCAGAATAATCTTAACACTTTTACTTTTATTTACTCTAAGACTTCCACTGATAAGTCCAAGGACTTGGGTGCTTCTAATTTATAGATCAAAATCGTAGGGCAAAGTGCCATATTTCACTCCTGTAATTCTAGCATTCTGGGAGGCTAAGGTGAAAATATTGCTGGAGGCCAAAGAGATCAAGACCAGCCTGACCAAGAGTGCACCCCCATCTCTACTAAAAATAGAAAAATCAGCTGGGTATGGTGGTCCACACCTGTAGTCCCAGCTACTCAGGAGGCTGAGGCAAGAGGATTTCTTGAGCTCAGTAGTTTGAGGTTGCATGAGCTATGATGATGCCACTGCACTTTACTCAGAGCAACAGAGCAAGACTGTCTCAAAAAAAAAAAGCATAAAAAGCAATTATCCAATTTTATTTTGGTACTTTGTATTTCTATATGAGTCCTTTTATGACTCTACATGTCATCCCCTGAAAGGAAGTACTCCCTAACTTGTGGTAGCTAATGTAAATTCTTGAAAGACAGATAAATATAAGGGAAAGTATACAAATTTCTTGTCCAGGGAGGTAGAGTCTCTTGGAGAGAATTAACCTCTAGAATATGGGAAAAGAGATAAGGTGTTAGGAGAAATACAGGTTTGGGTTCTATCTTTCTAGCCATGAGTCCATTCCTCCTCTGTCTGTTCTTTTGAACTTGTAGGTGATTTCATGTGAATGGGTATGATTTTGAATTTTTAGAAGAAAATCCTTGGTCTAAATACAGTGTCCACAGATTTTATTAAATAGGCTAATTTTCTCATCAGTCCATTTTTATTCTAACATACACTACTTTGTTTATATATATATATATATATTTATATTATATTACTGCAAAATGTAAAGATTTCACTAGAAAACTTATATGGCAACATTTTTAAAATGAGTGAGCTGAATACAGGTTTACTTGTATGGGCACTTTTTTGATAATGTTGCTTATTTAAAAATGTGTACCAGCTACTTATTTTATTATGTTTGTAAATGCAACATAGAACACAAAATATTTTGGAAGTAGACATAAGATTTGTCATTAATGAAAAGATTTCTTCCAAAATAGATGCAGATTGATTATTTGATTTTTTTTACAATTTCTATTTTGGAAAATTGATAATATATTTCAAAATATTTTCATTATATACTATATATAACCAATATAAAGATTATACATAAAACATTTTCATTATATAACATTAATTCTTAATTATAAAATAGTATATGATTAGAAAAATGAAATCAATATGAGTTCTGTATTAAAATCTTGGCATATATATACCTTGCATAAGTATTCTTTTTCTTTTTCATCTGACATTATATTGTAAGCATTTTTATATGTCATTAAATGTTTAGGAAAATAAGTCAATAGGCCATTTCCATCATGAATGGAGTCATGAAATTAAGGAAATTATAATTAGAAAAGAAAAGAATTATAGCCTGGCATTGTGGTATTGGCAATATTCCCTTCAGTTAATTAATGAGATCTCAGTGTTTACATATCTCTTGTTCTTTTTTCCCCCATGGTCCCATAAAGAAATAGAATTATCAGCAAAGTCCCTAGTCCTTGGAACAAGACCTATCATTATCAGTATCATAGTCATTTGTGTAAGATCATAATACTTAGACTTTCACATTCTTTCTTCATGTTTGAGCTATAAAAGGAAACAGTGAATTGGATTCATGAGTTTTTCTAGTTGAGTTAGCATCTTAAATGACCCCTGGGATAACTGTTTATCAGTGAAATGACTATTAAATACAAGAACACTTCTGCAATTGTAGTTTCTTCCTCTGTTGTCTGGGGTCATAGTATTAAAGATATCAATGTTAATAGCTTAGTAACATTTTTATTTTCACCTGGTATAAACCCAACCAAGGAACCCACTCACACAGTATATACAAGCCTGATCTAATTAAGGTGGAAGAAAGAAAGGAAGTTAAACTTTCTTCCTTTACACTTGAGGAGTTTTGTTCTGTTTTGTTTTTATTACATGAGATCCCACTTTCCTCCATTCATTCCCACACATTGCTATCCAGCTAGTGCTTTAAACTTCCCAGACATGAACATTTATTATAAAACCCTTTCTCTACTGTGCATTCTTTATTAAGTATTTGCATCTTTTCATGCTCCTGGAGGTGTGGAAGTCCCTTTCAGTGAGCATTATCACTGTTCTTTACTGCATAATCAAATAACTCCTTCCCCAGTCCTCTGCCCAGATATCGGCTGCCTTCATTTAGTATGGTTACTACAGGGCAAAAATTCACTTTGTGAACCAGAGTGTCATCGGAGCTTGACAATGATTATACTTATTATTGATTTCCTGAGTTTACAGCAATCTCAACTCAAGAAAATCAAATCAGGTTCAAACACCTCAGGGCAAATTTTAAACAGTCTAACTATATCCCAGGAATCCTCACCAGTGATTTCAATATGCCTATGTATATTAATACTAATGTACCTATAACCCACCCAGTAGCTTAATAAGTATGAATACCATTTTTCTTGTGCTGATATATATTATCAGACATATTCCTTGATAATATAATTTATTATACAGATCAATAATAATTGTATTGGTTGGCTATGTCATTTCAGTTGCTATAGGGAGATTATTGTTTAGAAATTTAATCTATGGATGCCAACTGCTATCTCCATCTCCCTTCAATAATCAAGCACTGTTAATTCTACCATACCAATATCTTCTTAACTGTGTTCTTTATTTCATCCCCAGAGCTACATCTTAGTTTTGGTATTTCTCCTGGCTATTTTAATAGTCTCCTTGCTGAAGTCCTACTCCTAATGACTCTCACTTACATTCACCTTCTTTCTAGTATGATCTTTTCAGAACTTTGCTCATGGCTCCTCATCATTTGCTAGGTGAACTTGAAGCTCATTTGCCTTGCCTGTAAGGTCCTCCATGATGTGGCTCCTGCCTACATGTCCAGACTTATATTTGCCTACTATCTTTTCCACTAAGCCCAATCTCACCCTCAATGTGTCATTACTCATCACTCATCCCCAATTCCAGTACAGGATTTTTCCATTGTTTGGACCACCTACCTGTATTTTAATGGTTGCCACATTTCTACTCATGCTGTAATTTTCAGGTCATCTGTTACCTTTTCTGTGAATTTGCTCTGAGTCCTCCAGATATTTTATATGTGTGGCCCTTTATTTATGCACTTTATAACTCCATGTTGAAATTTAAGTCTGGTG